GAGAGAGTTGTTTGTGATGGAAATGGATTAAGATATCTTGATTTAAATAGGAGAAGAGAGGGTTCACGGGTTCCATTAATTTGGTAGGTGGAACGGTGAGAGTAAAAGAGTTTCAACTTCCAAGAAGTTGAAAAGTGGAAGGAATCTTTTACCAATTACCAATGAGTTGAAACTGTTCCAATTTGAAAATCAGTTTCGTTTGGTTTGAGAAACATAACTGTTTTAGTTTGGCTAAGCCCAAAAGAGTGGCCCAAAAAGAACAGAAAGCTACGTACTAAAGGGAAATTATTCTTATTGGGTTCTCAAGGCCCAAAATAAGACTATCATTTTTCATTCCCTATAGTTCTAATTTCTACTTAGGACGAGGTAGCACCAAAACAAATCTGAATATTATTTTTAAAAGAAAAGTGGTACTATTTTTCCAAAGTCCTGTACATTTTTAAACATCCTAGGGACCAGTACTTTTAGAGCTTGTTGGAAATGAATTAAGGACTGAGGCTTAGTTTAAGAAGGCAGATTTTGTAAAGTACCTGAATCGGAGATTTCCAATTTTAGTATCAAAACTGAGATATCCGTCTTCCATTGCTTTGAGCTTATCAATAATTCATTGCCAAAAACAATTGTTAGCCAAAAACTAGTTAAGTTCCCCTCGAATGTATGTGCTTCACAAAAAATTCTCAGAATCATATTTGAGATAAGTATAGTTAAGAAAATTGTTGAAGCAATATTGCAATGTTTAAACCAATCAAGCAATGTTTAAACAAGAAGGTGTTTGCATCAAAACACATTAGTGTTCTCACATACTTTCCCCCTGTTTTGATGAAAAGAACCTTCAGTTTCTCTTGCGCTTTGAAGATACGGCAACCTCACGTATGCCCTTCATGTTCCCACACAGTTCTTTGATACGCTTAAATTTTCACGTCTCTCTTCTGATTGAGCATCATTTGAGAAGTGGTCAACAACTGTACCTATAAATTCTGTTCCATCCAGTCCTAAGCTGGATAGAAGCTGTGCTGAGTCTTCCGGATTTCTTTGCTGTGCTTCAAGGATTAGATTTGTCAAGTTCAGATGAGAAGGAATATAAGATACTTCTCCTTCTTTGATTGCAATAGGGAGCTGTGGTATTGGAGATGGACTGTGTTGTTGGAGAATTACTTCCATCTTGCGGTTTCCAGAGTTTGCACCAATAAATCTGAACAGCTTGTATGCTTCCTTTTGATTGTCAATGATCACCTTCAAGTAGTCTTTGGTCACTACCTGATTTGCAGAAGCTACTGCTAGGGCTGATATGATGTCCATTTGGAGAAGGGACATCTGTTTTTGGAGACTAACTGTGACACTCGCTATTTGCTCTTTGACTTTGTTGATCTCTTTGAGTTGAAGTTGACTGTCAGAGGCATATATTTCCATCGTGTTGCTCACAGTTTCACTCAATAGAGAGATAATCTCCACAGTCTTCTGCACTGATTTGCTTATTTCTTTGAGATCTGCGCTGTGTTTTCCTTCATATTTCTCTATTAGCTGGGTGTGCCTGACTTCCATTTGCTCTATCTCTTGCCTAAAGGAGGCATGTTGAGATGCTAGGGCTGATTCAATCAGCCCTTGGACCTTCTTTGTCCAGATTTCCGGTATCTCATCCGGAAGAGTAGGGGTGGAAGAGTTATGGAAATGAAAGTTGGTTACCTGATGAGATGATGGTGTTCTTTGGAAGAGTTGCATAGGAAGAGATTCAGCATCTTCTTGTACATCTTCTTCATCAGTAACCTTCAGTGTTCTTTCAGACTCTCCTTCTGCTTCAAGCGCAAAATTTGATATATCCCTAGAGAGGGAGTCTCTTTCTTCAGCTGTATTCTCTTCTTCAAAAATGGTTACTGGAGTTTCAGAGACCTCTAGTTCTGCCATTTGAGTTTCCTTTGCAGCTTCTCCAGAATTCCTTTGTGCTTCAACAGCTTGCTCCATTGTTTCTGGAAGAGCTGACTGTTCCGGAATTTCTGCTGACTTTTCCGGGATCTCAATTTCAGTAGGATTGGAGATCTCACAAGGAGTGGTGAGAATCTCCAAAACTTGAGATTGGATTAGTGGCTGAAATTCTTCTTCATCTGCTGTTTCCTGGTTCTGTTCTTGTGGGGGAGAGGCTGCCTTCTCTTCTACAACTTCAGTTAGAACCATTTCAGAAACATGTGAGGTTTCCGGAAGTATTTGGAAATCTGCAGTTGCTGCTTCCAAAACACCTTGTGCTTCAGAAGTGAAAACCACTTGATCTTCTGTGTCTTTTGAGAAGATTGACTTGAAGACTGCAGGATCTTCATCATCTGCTTCAAAGTCAGAAACTGGTGTGTTGGCCAGGTATTCCAGATGCAAGTCTTCAGGATTCCTTTGCCATACCCAGTAGTCATCCAAAATTTGTTCACAGTTGTGGTTGACTGGTATTCCTAAGCACTTTTTGATGATCTTCTCATTCTTCAGTTGTTGGTCCCAATTCAACAGTTGCTCTGCTGAATTTCCAACTTTCCAGGCTTTCCAACCATAGTAGAGCTGCCAGAATTGGTTATCTGCATCATCTATTTGAGGTTGAGGTGATGAGGTTGGAAGGCTTTGGACTTGAGGAATTTCTTCTTCAAGTTGTTGAGGGCTCCGGTTTTGAGCAGATGTTTCCTCAGCAGGTTCCTTCTCCTTCAATTCATCCGGATTGACATTTCCAGATGTTGATGGAGAGTTGATCTTCCTCTTCTTTTTCTTTTGAAGTTCTCCTTGGTCAGAGGATTCTTCTTCTTCAAGATTTATTGGAGCAAGATTCTGTGGTGCTTCATCACTGGGAGAAGGAGACACCACATGCTTTCTCTTGGTAGTCTTTGCGAAATTGATGAGTGGAACATTGTCTGATGAGCTTTCTTCTGCAGTGGCACTAGCACTAGCTCTGTTTTCTTCTTTGGAGGATAAGTAGTACAGCCAGTATCTGGCTTCATACTTTTTCCCTTTAACTGCAGCGCCCATAGATTCCAAAATATGTCCAATATACAGACCTTGACAGAGATACTTCTGATTGTGCTTTCCTAGATGTTTTGAAATGGATTTGAAAAAGTGTGCAGCCCAGTTTACCTTAGTTTTGGTAATGAGAGAGTTGATGATGAAGGCTCTCTCCTGGGTGATGTCATCGGCATGACCTCCACTTCCACACTCGAGGCAAGCGATGACCAGTTCC